GGGGTTTAGATCCAGTAGAACAAAATGAGTTAGATCAACTCACTCACTATATTGAGAATGGTGAAGTTCCCATAGAATAAGAAGAGAGAATTCTGCCCATGGATCTTAAAGCTGCTCTAGGAACAAAAATTAATGAGTCTCTCTGTTCAATAACATTAGCAAAGATCGCGACAATACCGCGTGGTCGTATCTTTATCCACCCATCGCATTCATAAAAGATGAGTAATGTGTGATTCTTTAACTTGAACTAAATAAACTCTAGGACATTTGAAGTGAAAAAAAGAAGAAGTTCTCTTCACATTAGGGGAATCGATCAGCTATATTGTGTACAAAATCACGAACCAGCCTTTCTCCTTCCTGATAATGTATTTTTTATTTAGCACAATCTTTAAATGTAGTACCTCGTACCTTTTTTCTTTTTTTCCTCGCTCTTTATTGTTTTGTTAACCTCATCCCAACTTAAAGTTGATGCCTAAGCTCCTTTCAATCCAATTACAACATTCACCATTAATCCCATCTTGCACGCTACTCGGGACAATTACCACAAGGCCAATAAACGCCATCATAGCAATCGCTAACCACACAACTCCAAGCATAATCATCTCCCTAAGCGCCCTTTCTCGTTTCAACGCTTCGCTCATCCTCAACACAGATTGACTTATCTCGTGCGATATATATTTCTCACGTTGGAGGGTTGTCTGCAGATCAGAGACTGACAAACAGCGTATAAGTTTCATTTGATATTAAATCAAGAAGGAATTTTTGGTTATTTCGAGGGTGGGGTGGCGTTTGAATTCGATGCAAATGACGAGGAAGATTGGAAGTCGGTAAGCAACATGGAAAGAAAAAGATAACTTGATAAGATTCATGGGGAGATATAAATAATATTCATCGGAATGAGGCAGTGCTTAGCATCTCACATTGAGAGAGTCTCTTCTCTAGTGATTCGATACTAGTAATCTTTCGAGCTATGTCATCCTTCAACGTTATAAAGGTGGCCTATTAATATTTTGAGAAATGACAAACGTTAGGTGATGGGAAAGTAGCAGGTTGAGAGCTAAATAGACGATGCACTGAACCTTATTAGTTTCGTTGGTTAAATTTTGAGAAAATATCACGTTGAATAGAGTATCAATTACTGTATTCAATGTATTCATCATTTGCAACAGTTTATTAATATTTTCCTCATGCTTTGTTCACGAACAGCCAAGTAATAATAGTCGACATATTGTAAGCTAACAAGTATCAAATGAAAGCAAATTAGTAAGGTTGTTACAAGTACCGGCTTGTTCTCTTCCAGTTTGCCAAAATCTTTAATGGTTATTTCAAGCTCCTCTTTGAATTTGACAATGATCGTTTCTAATTTTTCTGTTAATGAACTCTCCATCATGTAACTGTTTGGTCGAAACGGATTATTTCGATCACGGATAGTTTTTGAACGCGCTGCCTAATCACATGACAAACCACATAGTGATACAAACCTCCCAAGTAACGTAATATAGCGTAACTCTTGTTTCCTTACTTTTATATTCCCAAATTGGCATGTAATATGTGGTAAAACCTGGCCTTACTGAGTCTTTTTACCTCTGGCAGACGTGAGAAGCTTCACACAATGTCATAATATGTGCGTCAGTGATATGGATTATCAAACTGGCTGATATAGGCAAGAATTGATAGCATTTATTGGATTGTAATCACCACTTTCCATATAATTGCCATTTTAGATATATGGAAGAGAACAAATACGCTACCAGGCAACCAGTTTCGCCGGGTGATCTTGTTTGCGATTCTTTTCAATTAACTCGAGCAAAAGTTCCGTATAAACTTTTGACCCATACAATTTCTTCTCTTCCAACAAGGAAATGCCATCCGGTAGACACAATATTTCTCCATGGTTATGCATCAAACTTACTATTTTGGAATAAAACTTCCTGGATGCAACGGTCGATATTTGGGATTTACCACAAATATGATGCAACATAGTAGTCGTCACATTCTTCCTCTAACTAATAACACATCATACCATCTATTGATAAAATATCGAAGTCCAATTTTCCCCGTCAAACATCACTTCTCGTTGGGACGCGGGATTATTTGCAGGTTTACTGTTAGCCCAAACTCACTATTACATAAGCGATTATATTATGCAAGCGCGCGTGGGATAACGTTAATATTAACACGATTAAATCCAACGTAGCAATCAAATTATGAAGACGCCAGCGACGATAAATTCAATCTTTAACTTATTGATTACCTAATTCTCAAGAAATACCCACTTGACCAAGAGATAATTGACACGGTAAAGTGTCCTGATGAACCAGACGAATTCGATAAGCCCCGAAGAACAGCTTTCTATTGTCACAAGCGGTTAAGCAGTTCATGGAATAGACGAAATAACCAATTACATTAGAAAGCAGAACCAAGAGTTTGTTATCGTAAATGAAGAATTTAAAACGTTGTTAATTAATCCGTTTGAGTGCTTTTTAGCTTAGTACAGTAAAACCTCCATAAATGCAACGCCTTGGGACCGAGTGCTACGTTGCATTTATGGAGGTTTCCTTATTTGGAAAGGATATTTTAACGATTTGCGTCTATTAAACAGATTTTCCTTTATTA